ATATAGCTGGAATATTGCTCAGAATGTTGCTGAGAGCGGCGTTAAACAACTAACAAACAACTCCTTTGTAAAAAGGATTTTTTCCTCTTGGTAAATAGCTCAGTGGTCACCTGTCCGCTTGAAATGGGTTTTTAGTCCAGGTTTACATCATGTATGGTCCTTTGTCTGTCTGTCCCATGTTGGTGTCTATGCATTGCTGTCACCACGCTTTCCTACCTCATTAAACTACCACTCTGATTTAACTGGAAAACTGTTCATGGGGGCTTAAAAGAAATTTTGTGAAGATTTATATCTCACGTAATGTTGACTACATTTCCAACTATAAAATATTACATAAAATATCTTAGCAATATCTTATCCCTATATCTTATCTTATCATTGGTAATTAAGCTCAATAAAACACGGTCTCCATATTGTGGTAGCAAAGCGGTAATCATCCATTTCTTTTTGTAATAAAACTGAAACTGTTCTCAAAACGGCGTTATCCCATCTCACTACTGTCCCGTCTTCCCTTTGAAAAAGATCCAGGTTAGAATTGGTCCTCAGCAACCGATGCATGGCATAAGAGACGACTAACGGGATCGGGAAGTCAGGATCCTTGATTTGGTTGTTGTATGTCATTGTGTCCTACTGAAGGGTTCGATGCTCATGATATCAATCACTGGATTGTCTAGTTCTGACTCGATTACTCATAGGCAGCCGTCATAAAACTATCATATTACTCAGTGTCGAGATGACGAGCCAACCAACCAAACAAGTACAAACTATATACCAATAGCACCTGGAACCCAGACAGCACTGGATACTTGTTGGTTGGTTGGTTTGGTGTTTAACGACGCAGCAATATTCCAGCTACATGGCGGCGGTCTGGACCAAACAATCCAGTGATCAACATCATGAGGATATTTGTAGTAGTGATATACATGTCACAGAAATATCAGCCCCACCCATCTAGGCACATTCTTTTGGGCGAAAGGGAAAACATATGTGGGCATTCTTTGTATGGATCGTTGATGACACCGGGTGTCCAGGAATAGAGTAAACTTGTCCTCTCCTACCTGTAACACCCTTATGGCAACCAATGGCGACTGTATGTGTGACATTCTATGTATGGATCGTTGGTGACACCGGGTGTCCAGGAATGGAGTAAACTTGTGCTCTCCTACCTGTAACACCCGACTCTCAGAATTTGCATCAGTAAATACTTTTTGCTTAAACAAATATATTAGCCAAAGAACGCGATCATTCCGCAGACATTCGCCAGCTATGGCAACCAATGGTGACTGTATGTGTGGCATTCTATGAGAAATTACTGCATACAACAGCGTTTTCATTTGGATATTTATCTGAATTCATTTTACAGGTGTTCCGGAATTGTGAATAGTTATTTGCAAAAAAGCTGTCTGATTTAAAATGCATTAAAATGTTTTCACATCCCTTTTATAAAGAGTTGTTTCTTATGACAATAAGGTCAATCCTAATGTTGTCTCGGTTTAAATACACATTTGTAGAACCTGTAATTTTTTTTGTATAAGGGCGAGTACTTTGTAAATAAATATCGCGTCTTCTGGGGGAGTATATTGTGTAAATTCCCATTGATACATCTCCGGTCGTCAAGCAGGTTAGTAGAATTGCTGAGTAGGGGCAAGTACACAATTGTTAAATCATGCAGACATGTGGTATCGTCCACGTTCCATCAACACACAGATGGGTGGAAGTCGTTATCACGTCATTATGGTGTATCAAACGAGCTTCACAGGTTTCAAATAATGCCCTAATGTAATATGTATGTTAACACAATAATACATGCGAGACAATATTTCCAATGATCATTTTATGATTGGGACTTCGTCAGGAACAGGTATTGATGAAGCACTATCCAATGGTGATGAAGCACTATCAAATGGTGATGAAACAACACTATGAAATAGTGATGAAACACTATGAAATAGTGATGAAACACTATCAAATGGTGATGAAGCACTATCAAATGGTGATGAAGCACTATCAAATGGTGATGAAACACTATCAAATGGTGATGAAGCACTATCAAATGGTGATGAAGCACTATCAAATGATGAAAACAACACTATCAAATGGTGATGAATAACTATCAAATAGTGATGAAATACTATCAAATAGTGATGAAACACTATCAAATAGTGATGAAGCATTATCAAATGGTGATGAAGCACTATCAAATGGTGATGACAGGTGAGCGTATCCTGCTCCACCTGTGAAGTGCTGGGGTGCAATGGTCAGGACAGGGACCTATAGGCTCATGCTGTAATGGATGACTATGATTTTTGTGAGGAAACAATGAAACAGTAAAGGTACTTGAAGAAGTAACTTATCCCCCGGTTTTACTGAAATCAGTTGTTTGCTTGTCGCAATGTTAAATCTGTTTTGGACGGATACTGCTGAAACTGAAACATGCGTGTATCGGGTCTCTGACCAAAACAATATCCTATCTGTAACAAAGTCTTCAACACCCAAAATGGGTCTCAAGGAAGACAATACTCTGAATGTCAGGAAAATATACTTGTTACAATTATGTTCCGAGCAGAAGTTCGATAACACGTTTGTTAACAATATATAGTCGTTTATGTGGTAATGACCACTGAATGGCTGTAATATCTTACTACAGACCGTAGTTTGAGCGGTAGTAACTAAAGAGCATATTATATGTTGTATGCTTCTCCCTTGGGTAATACGGTCTGATGTACGCCTTTTTGTAGCAGTGTCACCCGAGCCGTTATCTTACCGCCATGTTAAATGTACAATGTGTTGGGAATTGGTTAAAATCTCATAATTGATGATTGGTTCATTACGACCGATCAATCATCATTGGTTAGCGTCATTTATCAGATTTTCCTGGTTATGTTTGTTTGCACAAAAACATAAAGAAAAAACATATAGTTCTTTGTTTTTTTTTGTTTTTTTTGCAAATTGCTCAACTTTAAAAGATGACTAGTATGTTAGGAACATAAATTTCTTCGGGGTCTTTACGATAAATTCAATCGTGACTTGGACGAGCTCATAGTGCTCATGAAATGTAACAGACAAAACCAACCGTGTGAAAGCCAACAAGTGTTCCAGAATTGTTTGTGTTCGATTATGAGAAAACATGATCGATTGCTTGGTCGTTTAGTCACTGCGACCAATCTTCGATTATTTCAATTAATCGGACCACCACTAGTAAGCTTCTCCCTTGGGTAATACGGTCTGATGTACGCCTCTTTGTAGCAGTGTCACCGAGCCGGTAGGCGAGGGGTGACAATGCTACAAAAAGGTGTACATCAGACCGTATTACCCGAGGGTTATCTTACCGCCATGTTAAATGTACAAAATATCATTTTATTTTATTTTGGAGATCGCTACCGACTATATGACGCGTAAACAAAATGGCTTCTGTTTCTAGACTGGGTTTTTAAAATCAGTAAAACATATTGTGACAAGCTACTACAAAACTGCTATAAAAATGGTTAATTATGTTTTAGTTGAGTGTGCAAACGATTCAATGTATAAAATAGTTTAAATAAAGCAGTGAAAGTCGGTAACATAAACGTGTACATAGTGAACTCCAAAACAGCTAATCGAACGGTTTTCGAACTCCATGCTCTGCATGCGTCATATTATGACGTCATACGATTGTTAGCGATACAGCTTCTGGACGGAGAGTTTAGCGGTTACCTTGGCAGCAGGTAATATTTTTAACAGTTGTCACCCTCCTGGGAGTGGTGACACGGAAACTTGTTAAAGCGTCATTGACAAATGAAATTAAAGTATTTTTACATGAGAAGAAGCAAATATATACAACTAGATGAATTGCATGTAGATCCGTATTCAAAGATTATAATACACTCTTCCCAAATATACATTGTCCCTTTCAGAATCAACATTCATCCCCACAGATATTTTTCAATTAAGGTAATGCATTGTTCCCAATGATTTATGCAACCAATTTGTGACGTCATGAACACTAGATGACGTCATACCGTTTTATTCTTTATGACGATCGCTTTTAACCAGTGGCTTACCTCACCACTCTGAATACACCTACTAGAAAGGATTGACATAAAGGATTGACATAAAGGATTGACCCTAACCTTGGGAAAACCATGCGACTTAACCATGTACTCAGAAACTCCTGATAAACTACAGTCATATATACGGGGAAATATTCAACGTTGCCTAGCCTTTCTTTCTGCTAATTACGTTTCACGAACAATATCTTTAAAAAAAAAAAATGCTCAATTCCGTGATATTCAATTCGAACATGATAGCTGATATCGATTCCCTACTTCAATGTCATTGTAGATGCATTCCATTTCTCCAAAAAGTATCCATTTTAATTTTAAAGTTCAAAGTACATCACAAAACCTAACATGAAACGATAATAAGATATGTGGATATACTATCAGCAGGTTGAAATACAAAGGCGAACTCAGCTTTTTCTTTTGTAATATCCAACCGTTCGGCATTCGAAGTATTCAGGTAACGGGTTTGTACATTTACACATACCAAGGCAAACCTGAGACCAGGAATAATGTACAATCGCAATCGTCTAATGACATTTGCGTTGATTGGGTCTAGTGTTGACACAATCTGCAGTGTTCACAAGGCAGTTCTACATTGAGAAATGTGCAGTAATCTATGTCCTTTGCACGTAATGTTAAATGCAAAAAAAACTATTTTCTAAGTCATTTTCTGTTACAAAATCCTCAAACCAAAACAACCCCCACCCCCACCCCCAAAAATAAATAAAAAAGGTAAGACAAAAAGAAAGATATAAAGACAGAAAGCTTAAACGACTGTTAAGTAAGGTCATTTAGACATGTCATACCTGAAGGTAAGTGGTAACATTCGAAGTAAATCCACACAATTTGATGTTACACAAGGTATTGTGTTTGCGTTAACCAGTGTTCATCTATTACTTGAGATAATATACTAATATACTGCAAGATGCATAATTGATCAAATGATAAAACATTACTCACCAGAAATGTCACTTTTCGTTCCCGTCCAGCAGAAAGTTCCGGCTATGGATCGTGCGATCACTGAGTCCCCGAGTAACCTGAGGCCTTCCCCAGCTTATATAGCCTCAACTCCAGTCACCGCCAGGGGACGTCAAGTGATGACGTAAGACCACGTGACTCCAAATGCAACAGATTTCAATGGATGCGCGTAAGGCAATAGTGATTACTTACAATATATCATTAAATATATATTAGCTGCCATGGGTCGCCTGTGTCTAAAGAACTCAGTAATAAGCATTTGACTTTACAGGCTTGACCACGTTCAAAGTGTTCTTGTGTATGGGTTAGGTTCAACATGTTTGATACTGCAAAAAGCAAGTAACCTTCTCGTAACTTATGAAACACCATGTTAATATTTAGAATAGACTAAATAGGAGAGTTGCCAGGGAACGTAGTAGTTTGTAAACAAGCGTAGTTCTGTAAATTACTCATAGAAAAATATTCCAATTATTCTGGGCACCTTACTGTCTGGACTGTCTATAGTACTCTACACCAGGCAATCTGTATGATTACTTTTGGGAGTGTCACTGTGTAGTTATTTGTGTACTGGATGGGTTAACGGTCAGGTTCTGATACTGCTACAACCAAACAAATTTGTCGTAAGTTATATATGTCCATGTTCGTATTTAGAATACACGAATATAGGAGAGTTGCCAGGCAACGCAGTAGTTTGTAAACAAGGGCAGTTCTGTTAATTACTGATAGACATACATTCCAACTATTCTGGACACCTCACTATCCGGACTGTCTATAGTTCTGGACACCACACAATTCGGACGAGTTTTTGGAGTTTATGCTAATTGCATTCTGGCTTGGTTTACGTGTTTTTACTTTATTTGGACATTTCAACATTGACAGTGAGGTTGTTGACGTTGCTCTAGCAAAGTCAACGTCATCAATCGGAATATCGCAGAGTTGGGTTATGGTTAGGTTCAACGTCTTTGATAGGGTAAAACCTATAACACCATGTTCGTATTTAGAATAGACGAATATAGGAGTGTTGCCAGGCAACGCAGTAGTTTGTAAACAAGCGTAGTTCTGTTAATTCGTCATAAAAATACATTCTGATCATTTTGGACCCCTTACTATCCGCACTGTCCATAGTTCAGGGCACCATATACAATCCAGACGATTACTTTTGGGAGTGTCGCTGTCTAGTTAGTTGTGTACTGGATGGGTTAACGGTCAGGTTCTGATACTGCTAAAACCAAACAACCTTGTCGTAACTTATATATGTCTATGTTCGTATTTAGAACAGACGAATATAGGAGAGTTGCCAGGCAACGCAGTAGTTTGTAAACAAGTGTACAGTACTTGGACGTTTCACAAGCTTAATGAGGTTGTAGACCTTGTACTGGCAACCTCAACATCGACACTCGGGATATCGCAGAGTTACACTATGTGATAGAGATTATAAAACGCATGCATAAGATATGGTCCTTCCAAACATCCATCCATCCATCCATCCTTTTGTCCGTCCGTCCGTCCGTCCGTCCGTCCATCATTCATTCATTCATTCATTAATTAAAAAATATTTATTTATTTATTCCCATTTAATCCCATGATTTGTTCTGTCATATAATATTTGAAATTCCTCGACAGATAGCAGGTGGCTTGCCTCTTAAAAGTATGTTGAGTAGCTGTAACAGTAAAGACAGTTGACTTAATGTTGGTGAGCCGCTCAACATCAAACTTCCACTGATGCTAACCTAATACAAACCTCAAAAGTCTCTCTGGACTTCCGGGCTTCCGTAAAGGATGTTGTGTTTCACTATTTACACATTTTGACCTCGCTGTCATATTCCGGAAGTGTAGCTTCCCCAATAACGACGTTCGGATTAAGGAGGTATCAGAAAGTGTCAGTTAGCGTCCGATCTGTCCATTAGGCTTCGTAGCTAGCTTAATGTCCCTTATAGAAACACCGCCATATCAGCGTGTACACTCAGATGTGTCATTGTGCCTCCCTCAGTGGCTTTTAGTGCACGAACTTTAACAGGTTTTGTTTTGATGCAAATACTCATTTAAATTAATCCAGACGTGCTATATGTACACTTATATACACTTGAAACATTGTCATATCAGCGTTGACATTGAGATGTGTCACTGCGGGGCACTTAGCGGCTGTTAGTGCACGAAGTTTAACAGGTTCCGTTTTACATATACACATTTAATTTAATCTAGACTTGTTTTATGTACACTTTGCTGTAGAAAATGGCACTGCACTCACACTTGAAACATACGTTCATATGTGCTGCACAGAAGAACTTGTTCACTGAAGCATACTTGACATTTGTGTAGCCATTGATGAGTTGGAGAAATATCAGTTTAATTAGATCTTCTGTTTATAGATCTCATTGATATTTGTGTTGCACCAATTTGTCTCGTTGGTGTTTTGTGTTTGGAGACGCTTCAACTTCAATTTAATAGATATCAACGAAATTGAACAACGTAAGATGAATTCAAAATAATTCAAAAAAAATGGCTTTGAGTGCTTCATGTCATATTATGTTTTACTTGAGTCGTGTCCATTCCCATTGTTGGTTTGTTTAAGAAGCGGGGTTTAAACGCTGAGCAAGCAATTTGTTGCGTGTTGGCGTTCATGGAGAGTGAGTGAGTGAGTTTAGGTTTACGCTGCACTCAGCAATATTCAAGCTAAATGGCGGCAGTCTGTATATAATCGAGTCTGGGCCTGACAATCCAGTGATCAACAGAATGAGCATCGCATGGTATACAATGACATGTGCCAACCAGGTCAGCGAGCCTGACCACCCGATCCCGTTAGTCGCCTCTTACGACAAGCATGGGTTACTGAAGACCAATTCTAACCTGGATCTTCACCGGTCGCTTGCGTTCATGATGTTTATGACGACTGGCAAAAGTAAACATAATGCACTGTTTTATACATGTAGTTAATACGGGTCTATTAATCTGCCTGTGTGAGCAGCGATCGGATTTGTCTTAGATTCCGGTTGGCAACTAATGACGATCGGCGGGCCACCGTGACACGGAAGAAGGTCTGATCGGTAGACATCACTGACAGGTAAATATGACTGACCGATACATATGACTGACTGATAGACATGGCTGACCAGTAGATATGACTGACAGGTAGATATGACTGACAGGTAGATATGACTGACAGGTAGATATGACTGACCAGTTGATATGACTGACTGGTAGATATAAATGACCAGTTGATATGACTGACCGGTTGATATGACTGGCCAGTAAATATGACTGACAGGTAGATATGACTGACTGGTAGATATAAATGACCGGTTGATGTGACTGACCGGTTGTTGTGACTGACCGGTAGATATGACTGACCAGTTGATATGACTGACCGATTGATATGACTGACCGGTTGATATGACTGACCGATTGATATGACTGACCGGTTGATATGACGGACCAGTTGATATGACTGACCTGTTGATATGACGGACCTGTTGATATGACGGACCAGTTGATGTGACTGACCGGTTGATATGACGGACCAGTTGATGTGACTGACCAGTTGATATGACTGACCTGTTGATATGACGGACCTGTTGATATGACGGACCAGTTGATGTGACTGACCGGTTGATATGACTGACCGGTTGATGTGACTGACAGGTAGATATGACTGACCAGGTTGATGTGACTGACCGGTTGATGTGACTGACCGGTAGATATGACTGACCGGTTGATGTGACTGACCGGTTGATATGACTGACCGGTTGATATGACGGACCAGTTGATGTGACTGACCGGTTGATATGACTGACCAGTCGATATGACGGACCAGTTGATGTTACTGACCGGTTGATATGACTGACCGGTTGATGTGACTGACAGGTAGATATGACTGACCAGTTGATGTGACTGACCGGTTGATATGACTGACCTGTTGATATGACTGACCTGTTGATATGACGGACCAGTTGATGTGACTGACCGGTTGATATGACGGACCAGTTGATGTGACTGACCGGTTGATATGACTGACCGGTTGATGTGACTGACCGGTTGATGTGACTGACCGGTTGATGTGACTGACAGGTAGATATGACTGACCGGTTGATATGACTGACCGGTTGATGTGACTGACCGGTTGATATGACGGACCAGTTGATATGACAAACCCGACAATAAACAACAGCTAAAACAACTGATGGACGAACAAACCTCAGCTTCTGAACGGTTTGTCGTAAACATTGACAGAAAATGCTGAAGACGTACAAGTATTGAGTGAATGGTACAATTACCAACCACATCCCTGTACGACGAACGTGGCCTTGACTGAATGGAAGGTATCATGTTCCCATCCTGAATAACAACACATTGCAATTCCCCAGATCTGACCAGTAATTAGTCTGGATGGATGTCAACACGGTGTTTTTGACCGTCTAACTGTTCATGAGCTAGTCACACAATGATCGTTGGGTGTTTATGTTGTACAGCATCGAGTTGTACTTGACCCACCCAGATTGTGATCATTGGGGTTTAGGCATCAGGGTCTAGGTTGTACAACACCCCTTTGTACTTGATGCATCCAGTTAATGGTCGTTGGGGTTTCGGTTCTATGGGTTTTGTGTTGTAAAACATCGAGTTGTACTTGAACCATCCAGATAATGGTCGTTGGGGTTTCGGTTGTACGGGGTTTGTGTTGTACAACATCGAGTGTATGATTTTGTGTTGTACAACATAGATATTACTGTCCAATAGATATGACTGACCGGTAGAAATGACTGACCAATAGATATGACTGACTGGTAGATATGACTGACTGGTAGATATGACTGACCGATAGATATGACTGACTGGTAGATATGACTGACTGGTAGATATGACTGATCAGTTGATATGACTGACTGGTAGATATGACATCGAGTTTGTGCTGTTGAGCGTCCAGTTGGACAATGTCGAGACGTAGCCGGACAGTGGTCGTTGTATTGATAGTGTTGTAGAGCGTTATTTGCTACACTGATCGATTTGATGGTGCAATCGTAGATATGTTTATGTCTGTTTACCTTTACGTCGATTTCA